TGGAACTAGGGCCTTCTGCTACTGAGTTCCGCACTCCTGACACCAGGGTTCCGGGCATGCCCAGGGTATCCAGCAGGGTTCCGGCAGGGTTCCGCAGGAGAAACAGAGCCAGGGTGTACGTGTGTACGGAGAGCCACAGAGCTATATCCGTATGTGGGTGTGTAATGCGGAAGCCAGTTCCTTACATCTTTTTATGTAAGTGTCATTATGAGATTTACATAAACCACGCGGTGCAGGGTAAATATGGAGCGAGAGCAAGAGAGCGCGCCAGGAGCTCGCGGGTACGGCGGGGGCTCGGAGGAGACAGCTGGGAAATGTGGGGGGGCGGCCGGCCGGCCCGTTGCCACCATCCACAGGCGGAATTTCCCCTTCAGGGAACCCTCCGTTGTGCCATCAAGGCCTTCGCGGGGGGATGAGGCCCGCCCGCGTCACTGGCGGTGACCACGCGGACGGCACGTCCCAGCGAGCTCTAGCTTCCCGAGGCTTGAATCACGGGGGGCTAGAGCCTGGCCGCGCTGACACGGGAGGGGGGCCCTCACACCGGGCGCAGGAGCTGCGGAAAGACGGGTCGGACGGCCGGGCACCGGAGTCTCCGCCGCGGGGACCGTGGCTTCCGGGGCCACCAGCCTCACCCTTGCTATGGCCCGTGGGTCTGCCCTCCCGCCCTGGCCCTTCGCCCCTCGGCTTCCCGGGGCTGCCGGGGGGCGCGCGCGCGTGGGGGTGTGTGTAGGGGAGGCCGGGGTTACGGAGCAGGCCGCCCGGTCCCCAGGGCTCGGGACTCGCGGCAGGACTTCTGGCCAAGCCCCGGGGGGCTGAGCCGGCCGTCGGACATCAGAGCCCCTCTCCGCCGAGGGGAAGAGAAGAGGAGACCCCAGCGTGCTTCCCACCCTAACAGCCGCCCGGTGGGTAAGGCTGGGCCCGCAACTCTGCGCGCCAGGAGGAATGCTTCTACCGCGTAGACGGGGCCTGCCCAGAGCTCCCCTACCTGTCCGAGCTGCCCATCTCCGTCTCTGCGGGCTGTGCACGCCGGAGCCCGCTCGCGCCGGCCGACCGCACACGGATCCTCGACCCCCGGCTCAGGGCTCCCCGCCTGAAATCAGCCACGATGGCAAGATTTACACCGCAGTGATCAGCAAACGCTGCCAGTGAGCTCCCGGCGCTGCGCTGTAAAGTCCCTGGGCTGCCTCCGGGCACAAGCCGGAGCCGCCCCCAAGTGCACCCCCCCAGGAACCACAGCCCTGCTGTGCCCCCCGTCGTGTAGGCGGCAAGTTCAGTCTGGTATCCGATGCACTCCTATGGCTGGAACCCGAGTCCCCGTGGTCCTCTTTAAACTCGACGGTGGCTTCTGGGTGTGCTGGGGGGGCACTGGGGCATCCACGAGCATCCTCTGCTCCGTGGCCGGTCCCCGGAATGTCCCACGCTTGCCCCTCTGGCCAGGACGCTGACCAGCCCCCCACCACGCACACACTCTCGGCTCACCCTGCAATGACAGGTTTGTCTCCCCTCTGAGCGTTGCACCTCCGAGAGGTCCAGGAGGACAGGTCCCACCACCTTGGTCCCTGCTACATCCCAGGGCCTGGGACACTGGTGTGAATGTGTTTGGAACAAAGGAGTAGCTCACGCGTGTACACACACACACGTGATTTGTGCAGTCTTCAGACGGTGCATGGCCTGCTCATGGGTCTCAGGGACACGGGGTGCTTTGTGGCCTCTGGCTGGGGATCCCTGCCACGGGGAAGAGCAGTGGCCCCCTTGCTCCTGGGGCTCTGCGCCCTCACAGCCCCTTAATCCCCCTTCCCTCTGCTCTCGCAGCTGGAGAGGAGCCCCGTCTGCCAGCCGCTGTGTACGCAGCCTTATCTCCCAGGGCAGGCCCCGGGCGGGGTCAGAAGCACAGAGCCATGCTGTGTGTTTGCTGTTTTGGTGCTTCCAGGAAATCAGAGCCCCCTTCCCAGAAGGCCGCCTGGCCCTGAGCCTGCTGCCTAGCCACCCCCACCCTCCGCTCCGGGGAAGCAGGTGTCCTGGGGCAGGCGGTGCCGGGTGAGGCCGCAGGGCCAGCAGGTGAGGTGGGCCGAAAACCACTCTGCCTTCCCTGGACGAGAGGGTTTGTTCAAGTAAAGCTGAGTTCCCCTTTCCCTCCACGTCTACACAGCCTCCAGGTTGGGTCAGCACTCCCCCCTCACCACTGCTCGCATGCAGAGCTCCCTCTCCCTGCACCCTCCCCCCAGCCTCCCCCCCCCCCCCCCCCCCGCGTCTTCTCGGTGGTCCCCTGCCTTCTGCCTTCATGCCTCTTGTCCCTTGTCCAGCTGTCGCCAGAATCCTTGGGTCTAGAACTTCCCCCGTCAAGGCCCCTCAGCAGCTCCACCCTCCCTCTGGGAGTGAGGAATTCAGAGTCCCAGGCCCGGGTCTGCACCCCCAGCTGCTTCCTGGCTGAGTAATGCAGGTGTCCAGGGAGGGACTGGGGAGGGTGCCCCATGTCAGCTGGGAGAGGCGATGGCAGGGGAGCCCAGCGCTGAGGGGCTGGGCTTGTGCCCACGTCTTCCTGGGGAAGGAGATCCTTGAAGTCCCTTGAAGGAGGCAGATGGCTTTCTCCAGCCCAAGTGCCTGCTCTTGGTCCCTGCATCAAAGCTGGGCCCACTCTTCCCTCGGGGCTCCTGCAAGCCCTCCTGAGTTGTCACCTCCTCCATGAAGGCCTTGCTGAGAGCTCTGAGACACTGGGGACGTGGGCACTTGCGGCCAGCTCCCCGCCACCCCCCGCCCCGCCCCTCTTATCTCTGGGAAACCCTGGTTAGGAAGTCTTGGAGGGGGGCGGGCTTGTCTCCTTCTGCAGAAGCCTGGGGCCAATCCTCCCCATCCTACCAGTGACCTCCCTCGAGCCTCCACCCTGAGCCATACCTAGCAGGGGGCCCAGGAGGCCTGGTGCGGAGCCCTGCGTCCACGAGTGACAGGGTGGGGGGAGGACATGTCCTGGGCAGCCATGGGCCTGTTTCTGGGGCTTGGCCTTGCCCATGGTTCCTGGCCATTTTCTCCCGCTGGTTTCTCAGCTTTCTGCCTTAGTGAGTTTTCTGTTGCCTGAAACCAGGAGCCCTGCAAGCCAGCAGAATCCCCCATACCGGGCAGTGTGCAGCCTCGAGCCCAGGAAAGGGTGGCTTCTTCCCTTCCTCTTGTCCCTCGGAAGGCTGCCCTCTGTCTCCAGGCGGATGGCCCCACCTGAGAGCAGGTTTCCCTGGGGCAGAAACAGAACAGGGACAGTGTCCCAGGAAGCAGGCTGTGTAAACCTTCCCGGGGATTCTGGGGCAGCCTCAGGCAGCAACCGCTTCCCTAGGGCCCTCCCTCCCCGAAGTCGGTGGCCAGGCCGAGCCAGCCGCCGCACGGACACGCACACACGTGCGCTGGTGCACACAACGCGCACGCCCCTGTCACACCGCTCCTCCTCCTCGTAAGGCCTGGGCGGCCTCCTCCCGGCACGGAGATCGCGGAGGTGGGGGTGCTCCCCCAGGTTCAGGATCGCCTTCGGCTGGGTTCTCTACCGACACGTGCCAAAGCTGTTTGACCGCCTCTGCTCCTCGGGGTCAAACAGCTCCCTGCTCTCCCAAGGCCCTGCCGATTCCCTGCAGCTCTGCCCTCCCTGCCCCTCCAGACCCCCCCCACCCCCCAGGGCCCTCCGCAGCTCTCAGGCCGGCGTCCACCAGTGTCCATGACAGGTGCTCCCCGGGAAGCCCTCTCCGGAACCCTGGGCTTTGTCTACACTCGCAGGTCTTTACCACACGGGTGAGCTGAAACAAGGACTCTGGGAGGAGAAGCCCTGAGCAGACATCAGACCATATTTTAGGAAATTATCAGGCCAGAGGATTCTCTGAGGGATTCCCGAGAGGGAAGAAGCCCGCTCTGGGCCTCCACGTGGGTTCCCCTGACTACTTAGTAGCTAGAACTCGGGGAGACGTCTGTGGGAACATCTCCTCAGGGCTGCTGTGTTCTGAGCGCGATTAGCTCAGAGCCAGGATGGATTTCTCCCGTTACTACTGATGCCTCGGGTGGGGTCTGCCAGCTTCCCCGCCGTAAAGGTGCTCTCTTTTATTCTGTAATTAAGAAATATTCTGAGGGATGGTCCTTTGAAAGTGTGTAAATACCTGATTTTTTATCAGAATGTGGATGTATTCATGGGTTAGTGTACACCCGTGTGGGATTGTGGGGTTCTGTCTGGTTCTGTGACGGTTACTTATTCTGAAGCTCGAGTCGGGTCCTTTCGCCGCGTCCCCATCCTTGGAGCTTGTTCTTGCTTTCTGCTCGACGAGGTGCTCTGGGCTCTGCTTGTGCGCTCGCCCCCACCCCGTCGCTGGGATCGGCCACCTCTCCCAGAGCCCTGGCTCCTTTTGGTGGGAATGACACCGAGAAGCCCAGGTTTGGGTCCCTGGTGTGCCCACTGTGATTAGGGCGTCACAGCTCCCAGGCCTTCTCAGCGGCCCTGGGAGAGCACCAACACATACATGCATGCATGTCTGCCTGCACTCACGCACACACATGCACACGCACGCACGCACGCATGCATGCACAATGCATGTCTGCTTGCACTCATGCACACACATGCACGCATGCACGCACAATGCATGTCTGCCTGCGCTCACGTACACACACACACGCACACGTGCACGCACAATGCATGTCTGCCTGCGCTCACGTACACACACACACGCACACATGCATGCACAATGCATGTCTGCCTGCACTCACACTCACACGCACGCATGCACGCACAATGCATGTCTGCCTGCACTCACGTACACACACACGCACGCTCACACACACATGCACATCTGCCTGCACTCACGTACACACATGCGCATGCACGCACAATGCATGTCTGCCTACACTCACGTACACACACACGCACATCTGCCTGCACTCACACACACATGCATGCACACGCATATGCACGCACGTATGCCTGTACTCACGTACACACACACATATGAACAGGCACACACACATGAATGCACATGGACATTTGTTTCTCTATCTGTAAATATTGAAATAAAGAAATATTGAAAACTTTGAGTTCCCACAGGGAGCTTCTCCAGTGCCAACGAACAGTGTAGGTCCGCTCCAGTTTGCTCCTTTTCCACGTTTGTAACTCTCCTCCGATGGGGGGTGGGGGAGAGTGGCTTCCGTAATGTGGTCACTCATCAGGCCAGCCCCTCCCAGGGAACCGGGAACCGGCCTTCCATGTGGGCCTCCTCTCAGCTGCCCCGGGGCCAACGCCCCTCGCCCCGTCTGGGCTCTGACAGCTCACGCCAGCCCCCGCCACGGGGATCCCCATCTGCACCCTCCCCCCGGATGCTGCCCTCACCCTGCTCGGGAGCTGCACCCACACTGGGCAGCACCCCCACGTCCTCCTCCTCTGCTGGGACCTGGCACCGTACCACGCTGTCCTGCCCCACTGCTCAGTCTCTGACCCTGTGCCAGGCCGCCTCCCTGCCCTCCCACGGAGCACCTGCTTGTCCCTGTCAGGCTGGGCGATGCCCTCCTTACTCCGCTGTGTGCCCACACCCGCTCTCACCACTGTGTCCCCCAACCAGACACACACCCCTACCTTGCACTCACCTATGGGTTTTGAACCAGATTGTTAAGGAAGGAAGTGAAGGGGATGGATGGGAGGGAAGGGGGAGGGCTGCTATTTCGTTTTTTGTTTTTTGTTTGAAGTAGGCTCCACATCTAGTCCAGAGCCCAGTGCGGGGCTTGAACTCAGGACCCTGAGCTGAGATCAAGAGTTGGACGCTTAATCGACTGAGCCACCCAGGAAATCTTGTTTTTTTGTTTTGTCTGTTTGTATTTTCGGAACTGCTATTTCTTAATAGAAGGTGGAGGGCAGACACTCTGTGCCGGGAAGTTCTAATATAATTGGGCACACTGAGCGCTCACACCGGGCTCAGCACCTTATATGCACCATCTTCGTCCTCACACGAACCCAGGAACTGGGTTTTATCACTACTCCGTTCTCAAACTGCAAAAACGGCAGCTCAGGAAAGGCATGGTGACCACCCGTCACAGGGCAGCATCCGGCTCCCAGGATGTTTCTAGAAATAAAATTAGATTCCCCTTTTCACCTGTCCCAGGCCCCCAAGCTCTGGGCCCTCCCCACCAGGTATGACGTCCTTTCAAGTTCTAGATAAGGGCTGCCGTCACTGCCCCCCTCACAGCCTGTGAGCCCCCAGGAGCTTTCCCCGCGGGGACAGGAAGGCAGGGAGCAGCCTACCCGGGAGCTGGGCAGGTGCAGGTGGACCAGCGCTTGCCAGCACAGGGAGCTGAAGGAGCCTGGCCGGGGAGGGGCGCAGACCCAGGAGACCTGGAAGGAGGCCCCAGGGCTCTGTGGCCGGCCTGGGGGTCCCACCTCCTGGTTTGCTGAGTCCCACTACTCACCCAGAGCACTGGCTTGACTCCGGGTGCCCCTGTCCTGCAATCCCCAAGCAGCTGGGACAGTTCTGTTGCCAGGCCTGACAAGACAGCAGGCTAGAGGGAGTCGGGGCTGGGGGGAGCATCTGCAGGCTTCCATCGAGATGGGGTTCCCTGAGAGGCTGGGCGGGGAGGGGTAGCCACGACAGCCTCCTTTACATTCCCTCTCCAACCAGGGAGCTGCTAGATGATAGAGGCAGGATCGGGACCTGGCCCCGTGCCCTCTGGGGAAGAGGCTGTTCCTGCCCCTCAGGTAGGAGTGAGGAAGCTGGGAGCCCCTACCCCATGCATCCCTGCATCCCCCCAGCTCTTTGCTCTAGGGTCCAGGCAGGGCCTGCGGTTGGGGCTGGGGGTCACCAGGGCTCAGTTGGGCCCCCGCTTACCTCTGTGCCTCAGTTTCTCCATCTGGGCCTTGGGCTCTGGAGCGGGAAGACCTGCATTCCTCTCTGGGCCCTGCTGTCCCCCACTGTTGTCACTCTGTGTCTTGAGGATGGTGTCTGGGCTGTGAGAGATCGGGGAACCCCGTGGGACAGTGACGCAGCAGGGAGCACCAACAGCTGGGCCTGTGGTTCTCAAGGTCCAGGGAATCAGAAGCAGACAACAGAGGCTGGGGACACAAGCAGGGTCCCATGATGACTGGCCCACTGTGTAGGCAAGCTGAGAGGAAGTGGGTCAGTGAGGCCCGCCCGCAGGACTAATGCCCTCCAGCAGCACTCAGGGCTTGGGAAGATGCCCGACCGTGGACAGGGCAGGTGCTGTGCTGATCTGGAGCTGTGCTGGGGGCCTTAGAGCCCAGAGGGTGGCCCCTCGCCCTGCTCCAGCCCGCCTCAGCCCTGCAGGCCTGCAGCCTCACCTCCTCAGGGGCCAGAGTTCTCTTCCCTGCTTGCTTGTGTGGCCTTCAGGCCCAAGCAAGCAGAGAGGAGGCAGGGAATGGCCTGGGAAGCCCTTGCCAGGCACATGTGACTTCTGTAAACTTTAGGGGCCTGGAATCATCTGGAGCCCGAGCTGGAAGTGGGGGAAAGGTCTCAGCGTCGCGCCAGCTGTGGGCTGAGCGCCAGGGCCGGCAGGAGGAAGGCAGCCGACGTCCAGCTGGGCCAGACACCCACAGGCCAGCCCTTGCCTGGCTGTCGGCCCCCTGGGCAGGCTGCACAAACGTCCACAGGCCTGGCAGCCTCGGGCCTCCCAGGCAGGCGGGCAGAGTCTGAGGAGACTGCAGAGGGAGGCCTTGCGGCGGCCACATCCCCTCCCACCTCTGGCCCACGCTTCTCCAGGCTCGGGCTTGGCTTCCGCACGGGAAGGGTCCCTGGGGCACCTTTGCCCCCTGGAGCCACAGCCCTCCAGCCTGCGTGGTCCGCAGGATGTTTGCTTATGCTTATCACCGCCAGCCTGCAAACAGAGACGAAGGGTTCCGTGTTGGCACCTGGTAACTGGGCCACCCGTGTGGGCCGCCAGGCTCACCGCGGGCTCCCTCCGCAGCCACGGCACAAGATGTCCACTGCCCGGTCTGGCCCAGCAGGACGTGGACATGGGAGCATCCAACTTGCTGGAGGTTGGGGGGCCTCAGCAGGAGGCCAGGAGGGCTGTGTCCCTCTGCAACGCCCCCCACATGGCTGAGCCTAAGATCTGGTCACACAGGCCACCCACAGTGCCCCCTGGGGAACAGGGTCACCCCTAGACACTGCCCGGGGATGGGGAGCTGGGACTCTCGAATGAGTGCTCTTTGACCTTGGGTTTAGACACACAAGTCAGAAATGGAGGGCTGGCTGGGTTTTCAGGGGCCCTCGGCTTATTCCCGGGCACCTCAGGCCTTGAAGGGGAGCAAGTCTGTGCACTTGCGTGGGGAAAGTTTCTTATTAACACTTTACTTTTTTAGAGCAGTGTTAGGGTCACCGCCAAATTGGGAAGGGACAGAGATTTCCCCTATACCCTTTCCCCCAACACACGCACGGCACCCCATCAACAGCCCCCACCAGAGGGTGTATTTGCCACAACTGTTGAACCCACATGACACACTATCATCACCCAGAGCCCACAGCTGACATTAGGGTTCACTCTTGGGTGTTGCACATTCCACGGGTCTGGACAATTGTAGAAGGATGTGTGGACATGGATCCATCATTATGATATCCTACAGAATATTGTCACTACTCTGAAAATCGTGTTCCACCTACTCATCGGTTCCCATAAACCCTGGCAAACACTGAGCCTTTTACTGTGTACGTTGCTGCACTTTTTCCAGAACGCCATAGAGTTGGAACCACGCAGCATGTGGTCTTTTCAGATTGGCTTCTTTCACCTAGAAATAATGCATTTGAAATTCCTCCATGTCTATTCATGGCTTGTAGCTCATCTCTTTTTAGCACTGAAAATGTCCCATCGTCTGGATGGGCCACGGTTTTTTTAATCCACTTACCTACGAAAGGACACCTGGGTTGCTCCCAAGTTTTGGCAGTTATGAATAAAGCTATTATAAACATCGGTGTGCAGGTTTTTGTGTGGACCTACGTTTTCAGCTCCTTTGGGAAAATGCCGAGGAGCATGACTGCTGGCTCTTATGGTAACAGCAGGTTTAGTTTTGTAAGAAATCACCAAACTGTCTTCCAAAGTGGCTGCACATTCTGCATTCCTGCTCATGGTGAGCGAGCGTTCCCCCCGCTCCCCAGCCTCGCCAGCATGGGATGTTGGCAGTGCTCTAGATTTGGGTCATTCTAGTAGGTGTGCAGGGGTATCTCGTTGTTGTTTTAATGTGCATTTCCTTGAGGATGAATGACGTGGAGCATCTTTCCATATTCTCACTTGCCGTCCGTGGATCTCCTTTGGTGAGGCATCTGTTAAGTTCTCTGGCCTATTTTTTAATCAGGTAGTTTTGCTCTCTTATTGTTGAGTTTTAAGAGTTCTTTGTATATTTTGAGTAACAGTCCTTTATTAGATGTCTTCTGCAAATATTTCCTCCCAGTCTGTGCTTGTTTTCTCATTCTCTTGACATTGTCTTTCACAAAGGAGGTGTTTTTCATCTTAGTCAAATCCACCTTATCAGTGATTTCTCTCATGGGTCGTGCCTTTGGTGTTCTGGATGTAAAGGAGGCCAAGGTCCTACAGACTAGACTGACTCAGGGCTGGCAAGTCAGGAGGGTCCTGAGGTTGGCAGCAAGAGCTTAACATTGGCCCTGACAGTTGAAAGCCAGCAGTTCTGGTAGTCTTCCCAAACAGGCATGTGGAGAAACGTACTTGCCAGGAAGGGTAAGCCTAAGACTCAGCCTTTTACTCGTCTTCTTCTTAATGCCACAAACATCCCATCAGGCTCATAAAGCGTGAATCTTTCTCCTTGGTAACATGACCGAGACTGGGCAGACAATGATGGTTTTTATTAGACCAGCACTGCGGTCGACATCACGTAACCTCAGCAGACGAAGCTGTGTGGTATCTTCAGCTGATGGGATAAGAGAAGTTCCGAGACAGCAGGAAGGCTGGAACGGCTGAAGGAGGAGAGAGGGGAGAGTGGTCAGGGGTGGGGTCAGAAGAGTCCGCGGCCCAGATCCTGTCTCCACTGAAAGGACTTGGGCTTTTCCTCGGAGTTGAGCAGGGTTCTGAGCGGGAGAGCCTTCATCTGATGGACATTTCAGAAGGATCGTTGGGACTGCTAGACTGAGACTAAAATGAAGGGGCCGTGGGTGGAAAGACTGAGTCCAGCTGGGTGACTGCCCAAGTCCAGGGGAGAGAAGGCAGTGAGCGGTGGTTGTGTTCGGGACGTGTTTCCAAGGGAGGAGCGGCAGGATTTTCTTGGAGACTGGAGGCAGGAGGCAGAGAAAGGGAGGTTGGTGATGGCCCCAAGGTTTGTGTTTGGGGAAGCACAGGATTAACGTCGCCATTTGCTGGTGACCTTCCCCATGCGGAGACCATGCTGGGTATGGGCTGAGCAGGAAAGGCCTGGGGCACGTCCTCGAGGCGCTAGCAGTCTGGGGCAGGGGTGGGGAGGAGCACGGTCAGACATCTTAGCAGGTAGGTCCACGACACTGTGGAGGCACCAAGGGGGACGTCTAGACTTTGCTTGAGGGTGCAGAAAGGAAAGTGCCCAGCAGAGCCCTCAAGTTGGTGATGGGTGAGCAGAGTCACAAAGAATGGAGGGAGGGGCGCCTGGGGGGCTCAGTCTGTTGAGCGTCTGACTCTTGATCTCGATTCAGGTTGTGATCTCGCGGTCGTGGGATCGAGCCCCGCATCAGGCTCTGTGCTCAGTGTGGCGTCTGCTTCAGAGTCTCTCTCTCTCAAATAAATAAATAAAATCTTAAAAAAAAAAAAAAAAGGAGGTAAATTCTCCAGCCAAAACAGGGAGGAGACCTTGAGGAAACAGAAACAAGGGCACAAGGCAGGAGTCGTGAAGGGCAGGACTTCGGAGCTCGGGGACGTGCTCTCAGGACCGGGGGCACCGTGGACGCCGCAGGCAGGAGCCATTTGTGGTTTATCCTGACAGGCTCTGACCCTCGCCTGAGAGAGTGTGAGAGCCGAAAGGGCCTCGAGGTGGGTGAGCTACAGGCTGGAATGGGAGCCACTGCAACATGGAGACGGAGAGAACAAGAGGGCTGGAGGAAGATACGCCAGGCCTGAAGGTCTGACAGGAGACTGGGCAGAGTCAAGGGTGACCACCAGTTTCTGGCTTGGCGGCCAGCACAGTAGAAGCCCTGGGAGGAGGCTCACGATTGAGAAGGAAGAGTTTAGTCCAAGTTGAAGTGCCTGGTGGTGAATGTCCAGGAGGCGGTTGGATCTAGAGCTGAAGGGAGAGCTCTGGATTGGAGGAGGGAATCTGGGCATTGTTGCTGTTCAAGGGCCTAGGATCAGAGGACAGAGGAGATACCACAGCCTGGCCTCTGGGGACAGTGACACTCCGGGAGCAGGAGTGGGGTCAGAAAAGGGATAGCTAGAAGTAGGAGCACCAGAGGTGTGCTGCCTGGTAAACATTCCTCTCTGTTCCTTCTCTACCTCACTCCCCCCGGTCAGTTTCCCCAAAAGCCCGATTTCTATTTATGAAGCTGTGTTTGAGAGGAGAAGACTTCCATCCCAAGGCCGTGATGGTTCACCAGGGCACATACAAGCAGGGACGATCCAGTTGGAGGGAAACCCGGGACTTTTGCCCGGAATCCTGTGCCTAGGAATTTTCCCTCTTCTGGACTTGGACCGGGAGATGTAGTTTGAGGAATTATTGGCAACCATCTGGAGACTACACAAGGAGAGCCAAACTTAGGATGAGGCCCCCAAAGAAGGAAAGAAATTAGCTTGCTGGTGACATCAAGCTCCAGGATCAAGCTTTGCCACTTTTCAGCTGGTATGTTATGAAAGTATTTGTACTTCCTTAGATGGTTCAACCAAGCTTCAAGTGTTTCCACCACTGCAGCAACCCCCACCTTCCAGCTCATACACCCGTCATGAAAGCCAAAGGTTCTTTAATGGCCGGTGCCCCAGAGAGTAAAACAAGCAATTAGGTCCCCAGTAAGCGGGGAAAGTTTCCAGGGGAAACAGCAACGTGACCACGGGAAGAAGTGGAGCTTTGGAATCGGACGGGCGTCTGTCTCTTCCTAGCAGTGTCATCTCCTGAACCTGAGTGTCGTCTGTGAGGTGGGGCTATTTCCCCCTTTCATTAGAGCCTATGAGGATTGGAGGACATTGTCAAGTGTCTGGGACAGGGTTAGGCGAATGGTATGGGAGGGACAGATGTCAGGCTGCACTGAACCCCGAAGCGTACAAGAAATGAGGAAGTGGGACAACACACGGATTATTTGCTTCAAGGACATAAGTACAAATGGTCCCTGAACGTGAGGTTATGCTCAACTTCAAACAGAGCAGCACAAGTCAAATCAGGAAGATGTTGGGACACAAACGCTCATGCTCAGTGGGTAGGAATGTGAACTGGTTTGGCTGAGGGCAACTTGGCAGTATCTACAAACCACTTACTGAGCAACTGAGCATCGTCTGTGATTCGGCACTCTTCCGCCAAGAACTCATCCGACAGTTGCCCCGTACACGTATGTATGACAGACACGTCAGTCAGCCTGTTTCCTGCAGCCGTGCTCGTAATGCAAAGCCCAGCCTGGAGGCCCGGCGGTGGGCTCAGGTTAGAGGAGGAAACTGAGGCAAGGGTACAGTGCCGTCATTAAAAAGAACACA